TGGCTTACATACAAATTCAACTTAAGGATAGACCTTGGGAATGGAATTTGTTCTTAAACTGGGGACCATCTGTACTAATACTACCTTTATTGTAAGGTTACGGTAACAGAATCTTGCATGTCTGAAAGCATTTCTCCCCTCCCTTGCCTTTATTTTCCAGAGAACTAGGGAGGGTCCCTTCTGAGATGCTTTCTCCACCCCCATTCCTTCTGTTGGCTGAGACATCTCTTGTCTGACAGTTGCCCTAGCTGTGGCTCTTCCTCCTGTCTCCCAAGGTTATTCTCATAGCCCATTACAAATATCTAGCATGCATTAGAAACAATGTGCTTGTTCTTTGGCCTTTTCTAAAACCAGCTTGAACATGTCATCTTCCTTTCCATATAGGGTTCTAATCTGCATTGGATGCATTATGTTGATAGGCTCTGTTAAGTCTCCTTTTTTTTGGTATTGATACACAGATTGATCTCTTCCAATCTGTTAGCCACCATGTTGTTCTCCAGCTTTGCTGGCATAGCTTGGTTAGAACCTTTGCTGATTCTTCTTCTGTTGCTTGCCATATTTCTGTGGGCATTCCATCAGTTCCTGGAGCCTTCCAACTTGGAAGGAACTAGAATGATAATCTAACTTCATCTTCTAGTACTAGAGGTTTTTGTTAGTAGGGAATATCTTCTAAAGTATCTTGGATGTTGACATTTCTACAGTACAGAATTTCAGTATACTGAAATTCTTCAATTGATCCATCTTCATTTGATCTTCTACTGTATCTGCCCATTGGTGTCCTTTAACATACCAATCTGAGGTTGGAACCTCCTTCTGAGTTCAGAGATATTTTGGAAGACGTTCCTTGTTTTTCCATATCTGTTTCCATCTTCAGTCTTTACAGATGTTGCTGTAGCATTGCTTCTTGTTTCTTCTATCAAGTCTCTTGAAATTCTTTGTTAAGTTTCTTCTGAGATCTTTGTCTTTCTTTGCAATTTCCACAGTTTGTTCTGACAGTTTGTTTTCTTATGTTTTTTTTAATCTTTGGCAGTCTCTTTTCATATTGATCCTTAACAACTTCTTTAAGTTGACTCCACAGTTCCTCTGAATCTCTATCAATGAGGTTCAGGACTTCAAAATAATTCCTGATGTTCCTCTTGAAAATGGAGGGTGCATGCTCAAGTTCATATCATAGAAACCAGCTGGTTTTCTTCTTCCGCTTTAACTTAACTTGGAACTTGCACATGAGAAATACATGATCTGTTCCACTGTCAGCTCCTGGTTACATCTTTGCTGTTATAACTAAGCTCTTTCACCTCCTTCTACCAAATAATATAGTCCATTTGTTTTCTATGTACTCCATGACATTTAGGAATACAGGCATATTTTGTAAACACTGTGATCTTCTGGCTGAAAGTGTCTAATTCCATCCATCTCAATTCCCTGATGCTAAGATGTCAATGTGTTGTCAATTCATTTCATCTTTCACTTTGCCATGTTCACGCTTCTTTTGTTCTGTGTTCCCACTGTAATTCTGACTTTGCAGCTTTGGATTTTCTTTTTCTGCATTGCAACATCAGCAATTAGACATCCCAAAGGCTTTAATCTAGCTCTGTCATAAACACCACTAGTACTCTAAAAGATCCTCAGCAGTGCATTGAATGCCATCTGACTTTAGGGGCCCATGATTCAGCTCTATATTGTTATTTTATATATTCTATCCATGTTATTTTCTTGGTAAAATACAAGAGAGGTATCCCATTGCCTTCTGCCATGCAGTATGAAATGATGCCTTTGCCATTGTCACCTTCAACTTAATCCTATATTGCTGCTGCCCAATATAGCTGCCTGCTTACTTTAGCCAGGGTAGCTGGGATGACCTTCACATTTTGGGTGACCCTGCTGGGAATATATGCTCAGTGTGAACTGAGTGGCATGTCTGCTTGTTCTGATCTGGATATGCGGATTGACTGGGAGTGTGTTGGGTGTAAACTAAACTGGAAATTACCCACAGTAATTTTCCAGCATCTACAGTATAATGATACACGTTCTCAAACAGACGCATTTGGTATCAGAGCAAAAGATACAAATTCCATTTTATTTCTAGAGCTGTGGTAGTGGTAATATAAGTGAGTTCCAAATGCAAAACTTCACATCCCTAAATTATTTATTTTTAAGAAATAACTGGCAAACCATTTCTTATACCTTGAATGGGTTTAAAACATGGAGGCAGCTGTAAAACATGGACATACTGCAAAAAGCATCAAGAAGAAGCAAGATTCATGACCATCCAACGAGGCAAGATTACAAATTACAAATTAAACATCACAGCCAGGATCTAAAACGATCTAGCTGCCCAGGGTATGGTAAACAGAATGCTAAGTGGGATGAGCCTTCAGACGGATCCATTCCAGAATTTATTTTTGCTTTTCTAAGATTAAATACTTTCCCAGCCCCCACAAAACCATGCACAGCTAATACTGCATCCTTCACATGTTGTCTAATCCTCAAGCTTCAGTTATGCGGAGGAGGAAGCCACGGTGAACCACAATCTCTGACTTTCTGCTAGAAAGCAGAACTAAGCAAGCATAATTTAATGCAAACTTGACAGCTCTTCTTCTGTGTATTTTTTCTATGAACTGAGAAACAAACAAATCCTTTTCCTGTGCATTATTGCTACTCCAGCACTGTATCATCTAATCACCACATCTGAAACACGTATCTTTTGTTGGGTCATATCTGCAGATCTCCTTGGTCCAGATCTTCAAACCATGTCTTCATTTCAGGTAATGTTTTGCTTATTTTTCAAAAATTATTTTTTAATATAGAATACAAACAACTGCAATAACAACAAAATGTAGTGATGATATTGTGCAAAAAAAAAAAAACGGAATATGTTATAGTGATGAAAATAAACTAAACTTGACCAGAAAACCCCCTTATATTAACAGAAAAATTTCCGCATAATAACTACAGATAATAATATAAAATTAATTGAATCCTTAAGCCCATCATTGAATCCAGGCCATAGAGAAACATATTGCATAAACTTCTTATTTTTAAAGCACACAGACTTTTAAAAAATAAATAATAAGCCCATATCCAGGATCCATTCCTTAAAATGAGGACAGTAAGTTTCTTTCAAGTTATGTAAAATTATCCTCTTTGCTATGTCCCAGACCTGACACAGCCAAAGCTCTTCATGAGATGAGAAATCCCATGTTTTAAGAGTATAGTTTAATATTGCATTAAGATTCTCAATGGTAATATTTCTTCCCAAAACTGTATTGGCATATGTAGTGATAAGGCTATAGCTAGACAAGAGAAGATCACATGAATTAAAGAACCTTCAAATATCTTACAATGTAAACATAAAAAATCTAACACCCATCCCTTTTAAAACACTGTATTGAACCCATCCCTTTGAAGGGTCCAATAAACATAAAACAATATTTTCTGGTGAATTAATTTCATTTTAAAATCATAAGACATGTATTTTACAATTTTATCACCTGATTGATTCTCCAAAATTGGATATTCCAATTTTTTATTCCACAATTCAGACATATAACGCATATTAACTTTCACGTTACTTTTTCATTCCTTGTAAAATTGAATTGCTGCTTTCCATTCAAGTGCCGCGTCACTCAGGGATCCTAAAATTGCAGGTGCCTCAGAGGGTGCTAGAGCATCTGGGCCTTACTGTTTAATATGTATTTCAATTGCTAAGCAAATATTACAGGAAATGTTTAACATGTAATCTCTCAAAATACTTAAAACAGCCTTTAGAAATCAATTGATTTAAAGTGTTGATCCCTTGTTTAGCCCAAGAATCCCAGTAAAACATCTTCCTAGCTATCTTCAATTCCACAGTGTCAATGTCTCATGCAATTTTGGATCATAACGTAACCTTTTACTCATTAACGAACAAATGTGTCTGGCATCTTTCAAGGCTGAAAGTCAAGATCTCTCTTTAGTATACCTGGACCCTGCCAAGATTATAGAAGTGTTACATACTTGCTGTCCAAATAGGCCCAAAGAGGGGAATAATCATAAAAACTCTTGTTCCAAACACATACAGAAGTTAAAATAAAACCCCAGTGATATAGTTGAAAATCTGGCACATTAAAGCCGCCATCATCATAAGGTAATATCAATTTGGTAAAGGATATGCAAGAGGCTTTAGCCTGTCATAAAGATTTTCTCATCAACTTATCTATCAGTGCAATGCACCTAATACAAATTAACACTGGAATCTCCCCTAGAATATACATTAATCTCTATGTAACATTCTTTTTTATAACATTAATTCTGCCCCGAAGACTTAATGGGAGTTTTAAGTAATCTATTGATATAGTAAATTTCAAAGGCAGCAAATTAAATGTATTCCAGTCATTAGTATAACCAGAATATAAACCATAATGCTGTAAGCTTTGGTGACAACATTGCATAATTATCAAGAATAGGTGTAATATAATCAGCATATAAAAACAATTTATATTCAGTATCAAATGCCACTACACTTTTATTTTCTGGAGACTGACTAATAGTAGAAACCAATGGTTCAAAAACCAAATTGAAGATTAAGGGAGATAGGCAATATCCTTGCTGGGTACCACAATATAACTTGATAATTTGAAAGATGAATGCATTTGTAATATCTCTTGTCACTGGGTGAAAATAATATGCCAAAACTTTGCAGCTTCTCCCGATTACCAATATTTCTAGTTAAAAACATTTCAAAGACCATTCAAACTGTTCTGAGTGTAGAGTCCCCAGTTTAAATTTAGCTGCTTTAAATGCTTGATGTGAGTTGTCTGTAGAGTTTCTAGCGTATAACAAAAGTGAATCTTTACTTTTCTTTTCTAACTGTATAAAATTAGAGTCTCTGAATATCTTTTTTGCTGAGGTGAAAGCAATACTGGGTCTCTGATAGATGTCTTATACTCACCCTTGTGAGTTAACATATTGGTAGAGACCCAATTTTTTTTTTTTTAATCTTCTGAATATATTCTGCAAAAAAGTTAATCTCTTAGGAGAGAAATATTCAAATCCCATCTAAAATTGGCTGAACTATAATTGCTAAAATTCACATAGTCACTAGAGTGTGGTCTGCAATTGCAACAAGGCCTATTGAAGAGATCATAATTTTATCCACCAAAGCAGAAGAACTAAAAAATAATCTAAGATGAAATAATTTTAAAGTGCTTATAAAACAAAGTTTTCTATTTAGATTTTAACAGTGCCAAATGTTTCCAATATATGTGCTTTATAATGCCTCCCAATTTTGAGAAAAAAGATTTTTTTCAACTTCTATCTGAGAATCTTAAATTAAATTAAAATCTCCGGCACGGATTATACAGTATGTTAATAATTTTCAGGATATAGTTTAGAGAACAGCTATGACATATTTTAGGAATGTTCTTAGTGGGGCATAAAAGTTAATCAGAGCACTCGTGACAGTAGCTATCTTTATAATAAAAAAGTGTTCTTCACTGGCTCAGCTTCCATATGTCACATCAGTTTCAAGACTGTTGAGCAAAATGGCTACCGCACATGTCTTATCTAATCCAGCTCCTAGGCCTAAAAAAACCTGTTGATTTGGTAGAATATGTGTTTCTTGCAATATGATAGCTGGCTGTAATTTTTCCATCTTGTTGCTGTATTTGATGTTTACCCACACACTCCCATTATTTGTGTCAATGGCTTCAGAGGGCAAAACCACTGAAAAGAAGATTGCATGGACACAGACAGAAACTACTAGGTGGGAGCTCAAATGTACATTGTGATCCTGGACGTCTTAAAGATTCCCATCATTGGAATCAGGATATGGCAGATCCATAGGTATCTTTGGGCGTTGTGTTTGATCTCTGAAAACATTTATACCACTGTGATTATCAGCTTCTGACAACCAGGACTAACCTTATTTTGAAATGTCCAATACAGATAAAATCCCTTTGGATCCACCCGTAGAATGACAGGAAAAGCATTTGCAGATTCCTGGGGGGAAAAGATGCATAGATCAGAAATCTTCATTTATTCATTTTTGTATTTATGTAGATAAGAAACAAAGAAAATCAATACTAGTTTCTGGAGGAACACATATGGATAGATGTTCCCATTAGTATGTGGTTGGCCACTGCTGGACCAGCTGGGCTAGCCTTCAGTTTAATCTAGCAGGCCTCTTCTTAAGAGATTTCTGCAGGCAGCTCTGTGTGATCGGGATTAGATAATGTTGTTTAAGGTTTCATCTCATCTCATTAGTTTAGGATTCTACTTCTATCAATATGTAGGTTAAGCTAGGTAATAGGGTCAACTTTTTTACACTTATGAAAGTCGTGTGCTATTGTTATTACTTTGGCTGTCTGACCCCCTTTCTTTTGTCATCAGAAAGTCTTTCTTTTTTTAAGTGTGCCTTAATAATGTATCTATGCATCTATTTGTCCTAATACTTTCCAGAATTTCACTTGCACATTTCCTTTCACAGAAATAAAGCTGACTTTTCCTAATTCCAAAGCTGGTTACATCAAAATGCAACAGATTTATTAGAAGATACACGAGATGCAGAGTTTCAAATGTGCAAATTCAGTATTATTTAAACCGGAACCCATATACATAAACTGGAGTTGGATGGAAAAGTATTCACAGAAGACATGTTAATGGTATCTATTCTGAAACATCAAATATGAAATGAAATTTGAATTTTTTTCTGGCACAGGAATTCTGAGCTTTGCTGGAAATTGGTGGATTTTTTTTCCCCTTGAAGTTTCTGTGATTGTCTAATTTTGGTCATTTTTTTAAATGAGATGATTTATCTCAGTAAATAATTTTTATCTTGCTCTTCACTTGAAAAGACTCTCAAAGTAACTTAGATCAGTAATAATTTCAATACTATACTAATAAAAAGAAATACACCACAAAAGGGAAAATAAGACAAAGAAGAAAAAGTAAAGCAAATTTTTGCACCACTTTTTGCATTAAGTTTTTAATAAGTTGTTGGAAATGGAGAAGAAGACCCAAAAGAAGCATAGGTCTCAGTCAAGTGATAAAGTGTCCCTGTTCCCCAGCTCTCCTGAATGATTACAGGTTATTTCTTGTGTCGCCTTTAAACTATATGCTGCCCTGAAAGTTTGGTTTCTGCATACACTAGCTTTCATACTTCTTTGATACGATATGCCTTGATTTGGAACTTGAGAAGGATTGGAAATCAATTTGCAGCTGAGGTCAATGCCGGACTTGTTCAGTGTAAACAACTTCATTCTGCATTTTCTGAGACTCTGAAATTATCTTAATTCAGAAAATAACTTTGATCTTTTAAAATACTTAGTATCACTGCACCATATAGTATAAATGCCATGAGGAGATTTGCATTGAGCTGTTCCAATATGAAAGGCTGAGGTGGCATTTCATGTGAAGAAAAAATTACAATTGACATTTAGATAGGGTTGTTACAACAGCTTACGTCCAAGTGACAGCTTGTTCCAACTTGAATCTAGGCATTAAAACCCAAATGGGTACAAAGCTGTTCCATGAATAGGTAGCAGATAACTGGGCTATTTTTGCTGCATTTGCTCTCAATTTGGATAGTGCTACTCATACTGAAACTAGTAGCAATTTTAATATATAACTAAAATAGATATAAATAGAGAGGGACAGAGATAAAGATAGAGATAGAAATATACTGATTCAACTTCCTCATCATTGAGCAATGATGATTCTGAAATTTGAAGAAAACAAAATAGATACTATATAGTTAAATTCTTGTATACTGCATGTATCTTCTTGATTATCAAGTGTACCTATTTCATCGTTTTAGAGTAGCATGGTCAAGTGTTTTTTTGTTTAAAAGAAGACAGACCTCTGCTTTTAAGAAAGTATTCTTGATTTCAAGGGCTATTCAGCCTGAGTCATTAAGATGGAAGAGCAAACATCAAGAAGTTGCCATCCACAGTTACAACAAATTGTAACATCACGCACTTGAACATGCTCTTTTCCACTATGATGAGATGCACTGTATTTCTGTACAAATTATAATAATTATTTCTAAAACTGAATCTTTACATTTCCATCAGCAGTTGTAGCCTTTCTGCAAGTCTGTCCTCTTCTGCCCTCTTTTGTGAGAATGTCCTCTTTTATTAATGATGCCTAAGTACACCCATGCACCCGTCACCTTCTTCTTTTTCAGAGTTTAGCAATGTTATGCAAAGCACAGAAAAAAGTATAAGTAGCAAGTAAAGGAAATAAAAGGCAGGAGATAAGGGAAATACAGCTAAATCTAGTTTACACAAAAACATTCATTATAGCTCTCCAAAGTTTTCTATCCTTGTAAGTTGTCCTTGATTTTATCACATCTAAACACCAATTCATACTTTTTTTTGTTCTTTACATTTCTCATCTTTCTCTATTTGAGGATCTCGGAAACTCCATCCAACCATAACATTCTTGCTCTTCCCCTTCCTACCAACCATTCTTCTTTCTTGTATTTGTTTTGCATTCAGTCCTCATTCATGCCATCTACATTACCAGACATTTATTATTTACCACAGACATTTACTACTCATGATCATTCTACAGGTTTTGCATGTCATAAAACTTCTCCATCCATTCTTCCATCTTTAGTCAACATTCTACCAAGGTATAAAAATTCATCAACTTGCTAATTTTTTTGTCACAGGTGTCTAACTTCAAATCATTCACCATCAAAGGACTATTCCCTGTCAAAGCCATCCTCTCCACTGCATCATGCAATCTAGGTAATATACATTGCAAATCATTTGGGTTCTCAGCCAGCAAAATGACATTGTCTTCATAAAAAGGTACACACACTTTCACATCTCTAACAAACATAGGTCTAATGTCCACACAGGCGTTCCTTATACGTTTATTCATAAATACATTAAACAACCAAGAGGACATCACATCACCTTTTTGTATTCCCTGTACAGTGTAGAACAATTTCCTAAGCATTCCATTTATTATCATGCAGGCTTTACTTCCACCATATATTGCTTTAGGTCATTCAGCAGCCAACCTTCCGCACTATGCTCATGCAAAACATTCCCTAATTCAGGTCTATGCACTCCATCATGTTCTTTCTCTAAATTAACATTCATATAATAAGACGAGGAGCACAGGCATATACAGTATTTCTCAATGACCTGCTGAAGAGCAACAATGTGGCCTGTGTACCCCAGCATAAAGCCACTCTACACCATCCAGGTTTTGCTCATTGTCAACTCTTTTAACCAGAATTCTGCCAAGCCCATTCCCTCAAACTACTCCCCTGAGGTTTTGCATTCACACTTGCTCTTGCTTCTGTAAACTTGAACAATCATGACATTCTTCCAACAGACACTGATTTAATTTTCACGCATATGTCAAACAAGTCATATTGTTCTCTCATGATCATTTTTGCAGCTTTCTCTTATTTTCCTTCTTTTGTATGGCAAAGTTGATGTGTATACAAAATAGGTGGGACCTGAATCACAATGCTGTGACTGCCATCTTGCCTCTTTTGACTTCCCTGGGGGCGCCACTGTCACAGCTTTGGTCAATGAGGCTGTTACATAATTCTTTTTAGTAAGATAAGAAAAAGTTAGATTAGATTACTAGCCTTAATTGTACCTATGCCATACGGAACACTTCTGACTACTGCCAACAATGCAATATCAGCCAGATTTTGGCTTATTGCGCCCAGGGTGTCACAAGCCCAACCAAAATCCAGTTTTACTTTAAGCATGTTTACACTTTTCTAGACAAACTAGAATTTCTAACCTAGAAACTACCTTACAAGTTACACACTGTTTTCTATATCTCATCAACTACCATGTCCCACCAAGGTACATGGCTATTCTCTTCTAGACCATCTTTTTTAAATGACTAAAGAACACATTGGTCCACTAGAAGGAGAACATAGTTCAATCTCTGGATGCCACCAAATCCTGCCTTTGATTTGGAATACCAGTTATATGGAAAATGTACAATCTTACCAGTTTCTATTGACTCTTTATTATTTGGAGATCCATATATATGTGCACAGTGAGGATTCAAGAAGCTAGGATTCTCCTTGGGACACATTAGATCTGGCTACAAATATACTGAAAAGTATTACATGACAACATAGATTCATGACTGATTGACCATGTACCAAACTGGAAGTCTCTGTGCATCTGAAGGAGACCATTGCAAGAGACTTATTGCCTATCCAGTGGCATGATGACATCATACTTTGTGTTATTGTTTTTTGTAAATATCTTTATTTTTTGTAACAAAACAATATTTAACCTAAAAAAAAAAAGAAAATTAAAAAAATTAAAAATACAAACTAAAAATACAAACTAAGAAGGAAAGAAAAAAAATTATATTTATACTTATCAATAGTCACTGGTTCACCAATGAATTCACTACTCTAATATAAACAATACAAGATATTATTGTAAGATATCACAAAATCTCTGCCATAATAACAAAGTTGCTGCATCCTTTGTTTGGCAGAAAATGATCATTTAGTATCTTGTTGGGATTGTGTATTAAAGTACGTTAGTAGGTTTATGGGGAAATATTTAAATGTTAAACATGTCAATGTAATATTGAATTATATACCAAAATACTGGAATTTGACCGTTTACCAGGAATTATGGTTGTATCGAGCATGGGGGTGGTGGTAAAAAGAATTATATTGAGAAATTGGAAAAGTGATATTATTCCAGGCATCAAGGAATGGTTGTTGAAAATGTGTGATCTATCTGTTTTGGAAAGGCAACATTTTCTACCAATCAAAGGATACTTTGTATTATTGTTCTTTTCTGCAAAATGAATATTCTGCAACCTTGGAATCTGTGGAAATAGGAAGAGCCACAATGGACTCCCTGTTTACTAACAGACTTTAATTATTACCATTTAAACACAGAGCTGTTTCCATTTCATGTAAAGCATGATTGATATTAATGAGATCATTTTGTGCTTTCTGCCAAATCTTGTGAAGTATTTGAAAATTACAGTTAAACTTAATTTTGCAAGTTGTATTAATAAAGAACTAATAAATTAGGATGCTTAGTAATAGTAGGCATGTAAGATCACACGACCACAGATTGATATGACCAGATCCTAGTAAGTATCCATATGAAGAAATTAGTTATTAACAGGCTTCCACCAAAAGTCTCTTAATCTTTCTGTCAGGGATAAGAAAAGGAAGCAATTCATCAATCCAGGGATAATTTTCTACAGTATATCAGCTCAGTCCTTTTTTAGGGGCTACTTAAAAGGCCCTACTGCTCCACCTTCCTTAAACAGACAGAATTTGAACTAGAGATTGTTCTCGATTTGCTAAGACACAAAGCCGCCTTAACCCTTATCCATGGATGTTTCTGCAACCATATGTGCAGTCCACAGCCTGTCCCCCAAGACCTCTGAGTGGGTCTGATTTTGTTCCCATACACATATTGAAGCGAGAATTGCCACGGTACTTACGTCATCCCACTTGATAAAGCGTTCACCTTCAGTCATGTACTTCTTCACCTCAGGAGGGGTCAGGATAGGGGTAAGCACTGACATTTTGGCATTCACCCCCAAGGTTGGGCAGGGGGGTTGTCTCTCTTCTTTTGCTTTGCCTCCTTTCTGCCTTTTGGGCCTCCTGCTCACATGGTGCTCGCTGTTACTTCAGGAACCCAACATGCTTTATAGGCAGAGAAAACGCTGCAATGGGTCCCAGAGACAAAGACTGAGCCCCTGATCTGCATAGGCAAATGACGGGCTTTCTAAAGCACACAGGTGAACGCTGCAAAGTCCCGAAACGTCAGGCTAGGTAGACAGAAATGATCAACAAGAACCATACTGCAGAAAAGAAACCGACAAGCAAGGGCTTCCTGCTCTCAACTTCCTCATAAAAGCTTCTGCTTCTCTCCTCACCAGTTCAGAAATTGTTTCAACATTCTTTTCCTTTCTGAGACTTTTCATTTCTCAGAATTAACCATTGTGGCAGGGAATTCAAACAGCTCTTTTCAGTACCTGGGAATTAGAGGAATTGTAGTTCCAACATATCCAGAGGTATGACATTGGGAAAAGCCGAGATACTTGGTTATCTGGCTGCTCTGTTTTTCTTTGAGAAACTGATTCATCACCGTTCCCTCCCTTTATTAACTGTGGCCTCTTCACAGAATGTGGCTGCTCCTTGCCTATGCAGTGTTTCTCAGACTTGGCAACTTTAAGTTGTGTGGACTTCAACTCCCAGAATTCGCCAGCCAGCCATGCTATATTACTATATTAGATGAAAGGCAGAACCTCCCACGTCCTTATGCTCCATATCCCTAGCACTATTTCTCTATAAATATACTATTCTTGTTAGTTATTTCTTTAGAAACTAGCTCTACTTGTCCTGTATCATTCAAGCACAGAAGTGGTGGGGTGAGCTATTTTAAAAAATTAGCTTAGCTCTCGTAACAGTGCCTTGTGCTTTCCCGAATTTGAATTTAACTTTATTTATATAGGACTGCAAAAGTCCAGATGACTGTAAGGTGACAGCAAAGATTTTTCTGGATCTCTTGGCTGCATCTAATGATTGATCGGATTTGCAATTGTTATCTGGTAGTCCTAATCTGTTTTGGGGGGTTTATTGACTGTTTTTTTTCCCTGAGGTTTTTCTTGCTTTCAGTTCACCACAGACATTTCCCTCTCTGTTATACGTGGAGCTGATACACTGTTCCTGTTCTGTAAGAAAGGATTTCCAAAGATCACATAGTAAACACATTTTTAAGAATGTGTTCACCGTGCATTACAATGTTTCGCACTTTACCTTTGATAGATATCTAAATACCACTTTCTGTTAGCATCAGAGAGTTCAAAGCAACCTCAGAGGTCACCTAGTCTGACTTCCATCAATGCAAGACAGAGATCAATATCTGGCCTCTGCTTGAAACGAAACAAAACAAGAACAAATTCCAAGGCATTCTGCTACTGTCAGTTCATACTGCAGCACAGGATTTACCCTTACAAAAAAGAGGGCAACAGAACACAAACATGATTTTTAAAAAGGTCTATTTTGTAGAGTTGTAGATAGGGACATTCATTATGATTTGAATTGAAACACAACTTGATTCACTCTGGAGGGGAATATCGTGACTTGGGGGCCCAGGTGCCTGCTCCAACTGCTATTCACATCTATGATGAAGCAACTGCTTACCTCAGTTATGATTGCTTATCTGCTGACCCAGAAATGTCGCTCATTTCATTTGCTAATTTATGCTAATGATGGAGTTCCAAATCAGATTACTTCCCAAACCATCCAAAGGTACCAATCTTTTTTGTTTTAGAAAAAGCGGCCTGCATCCATGTTCCCAGAATAAGCATGGTGGATGTACATGTACATGAATGCCTCATCGTGCAATTATCTCCTTTGCTGTTCTTTCCTTGTTATGAAATACAATAAAATATAATCGCAAGCCAGCAAATCCTCTGTGGCAGTTGGAAGGCTATCAACGATAGCCAGTCTCCATTTCATGCTGCTGCCAGTGCTGCGAGAGCTTCTCCATGGGAGAAGTAGGCTGGGTTAGCCACGCAAACAGACCCCCAGCGTAGTTGGTAAACTTGGTTTATGGTTTAGTACATTATGTGAAGTGAACTGGATATGGTGTACTTAGTATATCATGGTTAAGTAAATGATGGTTTAATGTACTTTACAAATTATGGCTTAAGCCCTCTTGTTCTTCATTCCCCTGCATTACTGTCTAATGGCTCTCTGAAATCTGCACATAGCTTGAAATTATTCTAGTGGACGTCTCCTGCAGCAAGAGAAAAAATGACTTCTCCTGCTTTAGAAGATGATTGAGCAATAGGAAATCTCTCTCATTTACACGAAAGGTTTTTAAATGGAAACTGGATGGAAGTGAAATGAAATAGAGATGATCTGAGTATTCTTTCAGACTCTATGAATTTAACATTGTTTAGCAATGAAAACGTAAGAAACTTCAGAGAGAGAGAGAGAAAGAAAGAGATAAGATTCATAAGAAAGTGGCAAACTAAACTGGAACGAGCTTGTAAAAAATGGCAACCACTGAGCCTGTTTTGAATAAATCAAACAGAAGGTTTGCTCTAGCAGCCAACTTGCTGTCAAAATATTTCCATGTGCCTAAACTGAGATTTAAGAATCATTCCCTCCTATGGAAATCAGTTGTTATTTGACCACCTGTGGTTGTGATATACACACCATGCAAATCCCCCAGCATATCAGATGCTTTGAAGAGGAAGGGAGGAAATGGAGGGTGCCTGCCCTTGAGAGCAAATATTTCATTAACCCACATTTTTGGGTACCTGTCTAGGACTACCACATCTGGACTGCAAAAACCCAGAACCCACAGACGGCAGCAAAGATCTCTAGTGGCCACCAGATTTTTGCAGTCTGGACCTGGCACCATTAAATCTTTGCCCTTATAAGTTTTGTCCTATGGTTTTTCAGAAAGAAAGAAAGCTAACATCTGTGTCTCTGTTGTATAAATAGGCTTATCTCTACTTTTCTATCTCTCACCAGAAATTCCTACATACTAAGAAAGTCATACATACTAGGCTAATGCATTTAATTGCAACCTGAAAAAAACTTCACTGTTTATCATTCCAGTAAATGACTATCATCCATCCATCCATCCATCCGTCCATCCATCATTCTATCAATCAATCAATCAATCAATCATCTATCCATACACACACACACACACTTGGTCTTTTAATTAGTCCAAATGTTATATTTGTAACAAGATATGCAGCAACACCTCAATTAAAAGGAAGAGGGTCTTTAACATTTTGATTCAATTGCCCTTCTTCTTCAATGATAGAATTTTACAGGGGCTGAGATGATGTCATCTGTAGCCTTCTTATGATCTTCCAGTCATTCTTCTGTTGTTTTCATGATAAAATCTGTGAAGGAGGAAAAAGACAAAGAGATGCAGAATGCCTTTTAATTGGTAACACTAGGGACCTTATAATAATCTTTGTTCCTATCTTTATGCAAGTGGTCCTCATCATCCACAGTTCCATTACTTGTGTTTACATATGTCTGTGATTGATAAAACAGGCCAGGCCTTGTTATGTATGGTAAAAAGATTCGTGTATCTGTTATTTGGGGTGCATGGTTCTGTTTGGAGTAGATTTTTGGAGAATAGTTTGAGGGAGTTATTTTATGTGTGTGCAAATGGCAGATAAGTTTTTGCACATGTAAAAAGTACCTTTTTTCAAGGTCTAGTTATCCATGCTTTCATTATGTGAGGTTCTGGAACAGAATCCACAGGAATAAAAAGGATCACCTGTATGCTCAGGTGAATTGTATTTGCCATCCCCAGAGCCATATTGTTTCCTCTTGTATGCACAGATCATATGAGGAAGTTTACACACACCTAAAGCATAAATGGGATGTCATTTGCTATCAAAGCTGCAGTTTATCTCAAAAAGAACAATGCCTGGATAGTTTGAGGAGCAGCTCAGTTGGAAGCATCCTGAATTAAATTTTCCCAGAAGAAAATGTGAAAAGAATCTGCCTATATCCTGAAAGGCTTTCCTATTATTAACAGAACTATTACATACAAGAACTGTTCACTATGGCTTTCTATAGGTTACTTGGAATATGAAAAAAACACAATAGACCTTTATCACAACCTGTTGCCTTTCACTTACAAGGGACTTCTCAAAGCTTTAGGTATGAGCCCCTCCCCCCCAATAGCCCTTCCACTGTTGTGAACAAATTGTTAATGGGATTGAAGGATAAGATGATTGAATCAATGTGAGTCATCATATTAACTTTGATCAATCCATTAAATTTAAATTTTATCAAATTTAGAATTTGCATTGGCCCCACCTACATTTTGGACTGCAGACACAATTGTCCACTTAAAGAAACCTTTGGGCCCAACATGATTGTGCACCCCTGCTTTATCACAAGGCATGATGTACTTTGAGCAAGCCCCTAGGCTTTTCTGATATTAATAATTTTGTTTTTTCTCTATAGCTTGGCTATTATTAAATGACATGGTGACAAAACATTATACAGTTATAAAGCAGTTCTGGTGACTTTTTTCTGAATACCAATAGTTGGGTAGATATATGTGGCAATGAATTTTGTGATGAAATGAAGTTGCTAATTTCAACACCTACCCACATTGCCCTGAACTGCATAGTGAAAGGAGGAGATAACCAAGTCTAAGATGAAGAATTGTTGTTATATCCTACTTCCCTTAACAATAAATGAAGGGTATTTCTTGGGCAGAAGTTTGGGGCCTCATTATACTTTAAATGAAATACATTTATATGTAGGGAAAATCTCTCTTACATTTCTGCATCTGAATTATGCTTTCTACTGTTGTTGGGTAAGGGGCATAATTTAGGCCATATCTGCATTTACATTTATCCGCAGCTCCTTGCCCACAGCATTTTCTCTTTTTGTCCTAATGCCATTGCCCTCACCTCCTCCCCAACTTATGAGTGACACTGTGTTAAATTATCATTAGCTATTCTGTACTGAAGACCTGTTTTCCCCATTATTCCAATGATGGCCTCAAGGCATGTAAAATCAATTACATTTCATCACCCAATACCTAGGAGGCAAAGTCAGATGACCAATAATGGGTGATCAAAGAGTGCATATTTAACATCATGGGAAAACATAGCCCCTTCCCCTCCACTTTAATGTTTGGTCTGCTTTTTTGGCTACCATGCTGCTATTCTAGTGATGGATATAATGGTCTATGAAATGTCAGGAAAATTACTTGGTATGCACTGCTGAAAAAGAAAATTATATGGATAGGTCTGTGTGGTCACTAGGGCTTAAACTCAAGTTATTTTATGAATCTAA